GTGGTATTATTGCTTTCTGGTTTGGAAGGGTAAGGCTGCTGGTGAAATTACAGGCACATGAGACTTGTCAAGTTGTGTCGTAGAGTGAAGGGGGTAGTGGTGGTGGGTGGCATTGCAATTTTTATGGATAGGTTTGTCGCTTACAACTAGGAACACGACTTGTTCGTCGCGTCACTTGTTATTATAAAAATAAGGACGTACGTCCTTTAGACGCACCATGGGTGCGCCCGTATGTGGCATTACCATTTTCGAAAAGTAATTAATAATAACCTAATTCAACACCTATACATAACCTACCGCCCCGTGTGGCGGGCCAATACAACCTTCATGAACCGTAATAAAAACCGGCGGGCGCATGAGACAGACGACAGTTAGTACGAGTCTGCACATCGGGTTCGATCCCCGGCGGTCGGTGTAGAAACGAATACCGTCGTCGTCTCCGACGCTCGCGACGCCGTCTCATATCCTTGTGGACGGCGACAGCTGCAGGAGCTGCTGCTGCCGTTCGTGCGCGTGGCGGCGCTGCTGCGCCACCACCTGTTCGGCGGCTCGCTGCCCGAGATCCAGGCGCCGCGCCAGGAGTTCGTGCGCCTGGTGTACTACCTGGAGCTGGTGACGGACGGCATGGAGTGGAGCGCGTGGTCGGCGGCGAGGGCGCTGCCCGCCGGCGCCGCAGCCGCCGCCCGCTGCTGGGCGCGCGAGCTGGGCGCGGCGGCGGCGCGCGGCCAGCTGGTGGTGCGCCGCATCCTGCGCGGCCTGCACGCCGACTGGGCGGCGCCGGCGCTGCTGGCGCTGCCGCGCGACTACGACCGCCTCTTCACCTACTACCACGAGCGCGTGTGCCTGCAGTGCGGCGCCGTGCCCAAGGAGGCCTCCGTGTGCCTGCTCTGCGGCACGCTGGTCTGCCTCAAGCAGAACTGCTGCCGCCAGCACCAGGTCGCCGAGGCCGTGCGGGTGGGTGCGACCTTTTCGTTCTTTTCGTTTAGAATGATTTCTCCGTTACGTAATAACTATTAGGTAATCTGTGACCGCGCCGACTCTGCGCGGATGGGACGCTACATACTTTGGAAGGTTTACGTATGTAATATTGCAAATTATATTTAAACTAAATAATATCAAAATTGCAACCACGAAATGAGCGTTTCCTTACAACTTTTGATCAAACGTCTTATTTAAAATTTAAAACCGGATTTCCAAATCTTATTCACCTCTAAAATCGGTCCTCAAGGGTTCTAAAAGAGTGTTGAAAGCCCCATGGAACAACGGCTGCTTTCCATTTGAGAAGTGAACGGTTCAAATCCCTATGACGAGGCAAACCTTTGACTTTAATTTCCGAATTACTTACATTTATAAATATTTAGCAGTAACATCTCTTGCTAACGGCGAGGTCCACATTAACATGAAACTTGCACTTAGAAGAACGGTCATAACCCTTGCAAAATATTCGAAGTTTTGGACCAAAGTAATGGAATATGATTTAAATCATCTTCTTACAAGTGACCTATGCATAATATTAAAATATATAATAAGTTGATTTAGGCAGAGGTGGTACTACTAACTCGTCTAACATACTAAATTGCAATTATGAACTGCGTAGCATGCGATGGAGTGCGGCGGCGGCACGGGCATCTTCCTGGTGGTGACGTCCACTTACATCATCGTGATCCGCGGACGACGCGCCTGTCTCTGGGGCAGCCTCTACCTCGACGACTACGATGAAGAGGACCGCGACCTCAAGTCAGTATCACCGCTCCTCTATGTATTGGATCTATTCAAGAAGGCATTTTTTATTATGTACCAGGTGAAATTGTGACCTAGCGTGGGTCTACTTACCAGTAACAAACAATCTACCTTACAACAGCGCCACCTAGGAACCGTTGGTGTGAATTTCAAGAGAAATTAAGTGTTTTTATTGACGACGATTTAACATAAGTGACGGGACGAACAAGTCGTGCGCTCGATGGTAAGATACACGCCTATAACAATTGTAGTGCCACGCACGAGCGTTAAATTGCAAACATCTGAGGGGGCACTACCGCTGCGCCCGTCACCCTGAGACATAAGTTGACAAATACCATGTGCCTGTAATTTCACCATCACCCTTACCCTTCAAATCCGGAACAAAGCAATGCTGACATTACTGCTTGGCAGCAAAGCGTGTCAGACGCTATGAATTACCTTGCGAATTTTTCTATATGCTTGTTGTCGGATCTTTGTATCTGGTTTTTAACGACCCTGAATTTCAAGAGAAATGTTAATCAAAGTTACTATGTATTATTTATTATTATTGATACAAAGATTAAATAACACAAATAAACATTCCTTTGATCTGACTGGACTCGAACCAGCGTTTGTTGCCACACCGGAGGCGTTGTAGCACATAAGTTCTTAAGAGCTAGCATTAGTAAATGGTTTCGTGCGACAAAAATACAAAAGTTTCTTAATAATAATAAAATTACATTTATTTCTCCACAAAATATAGGAAACAATACTTTAAAACCAATAGAAAATTACAATTGAGTGATGTGGATAAAAAGGTTAAAGGCTCGGCATTGCTGATTTATAGTCTTCACCTGTAGCTAGCTAGCTATTCGCTTGCTGTACCAAGCTAACATACGTAGTATACACCAAGTAATAACCTACCTTAAGTAATAACTACTAATAAGTTAAAATTTAAAGGCTGTGCTTGTAAAGTTATCAACTGCCTCCGTGGCCGAACGGTTAACATGCCGACTGCCATGCAGAGGTCCCAGGTTCGATTCCCGGGACAGGAGAAATATTTGTATGGCCTACATTAATTTTTCTCGTGATTTTGGGTGTAATTTGTGGTTGTCTATGTGTGTCTCCATCCGCGACACAGGGTTTCCCGAGTGCGGGGCTATATTGAGTGTTATTATTATATCTTCACTAGGCTATATAAAAGATGTTAATGGTGTGCTATGGAAATGTCACAAGTATATCCAATCTGTCAAAATCCATTGGAGGCTGACAACGGCATGTTTGTTGGGGCAGACGCGGCAAGCCGCTGTACCTGAGCCAGGACCGGCTGGAGCTGCTGCAGGCGCAGTGGCTGGCGCACCGCTTCGACCACACCAAGCGCACGTGGGTGTGGCACCGCGACTCGCTCTGACTCGCCTCCCCGGACAGGTTAGCTCTCGCTGCCGGCTCGCGCTGGCTACTAACACCTATTCTCTAGCCAAATATAACTCTAAGCTAAGCTAAGTATAACTCTAGCCAAATTCGATACAGGATGTTTAATAACAAGACGTTGCTAAGCAACCAATGTTGGCATAGAAAAATAACATTTTCACCTCACTAGCTCGGAAAGGCTTTCTGTCTCATTAGAAATGCGTTTTTGCACGATAGCGTGGAAATACTTTATTAAAATCTTTGAACTTTCGATGAAAAAAAAAAGGTGATGACACGTTCAAGTAAGCGATTTGTCGTACATTACATTACCTATTTATGTAATATAAATCCGTTGGTATATTTTATTCTTCTTATTGTTTACATTAAATTGATAATGATGACATATTTGTTTTTTCAAACAAACCGACGTTTCGGGCCCTTTACAATGGGACTTGTAAAGGGCCACGGTTGACCTGTAAAGGGCCCGAAACGTCGGTTTGTTTGAAAAAACAAATATACGCGATTTAAATCCGGAAAAATAGTTTCATTTCCTATGTGTAACAATCGCGAAAACCTAAGAACTCAATAATTGTGTTTTATTAAATTATTTTCATTCGTCGAAGAACTAAAATAATTTCAATAATCACTTAACCACACAAAATAAATGTACAAGCAAGAATAAAAATTGATGAGTTGTAAATTTAGAACTCATGCGAAGATAATTTTTTCTGTTCATTAAAAAAACTGTTGATCATCAGTTTTTCTTTCATCTACCATTTTCCTCGCTATAGTGAGGTGGAAAATTTGTTTTGCGTCTAGTGCCTTGAAACCCTCGCTACGCTGAGGAATCTATTTTCTCTAATTGTAGGGGCCAATACTACGCTATAGTATTGACGCCTAATTGTTTAAATTGATAGATGATAAAAGTATAAAGTTTGTTAATAAAGTAAGAAGATACAAGGCTCGTTGAGGATGTGTATCTCTTACGTTGTTGTTACGTTAAGACATATGAATGTTCGTTAAACACTCAAGATGTCTAGATGAAGTGAATGCTCGTTTAACACTAAAATTACTTGCCTACTTATTTGCCCATGTAATGTATGTAAGCCACGGACAGTAGGGCACAAAGTAGAGCGCAAGGTAAGCGGAAGAAAAATGTGCGGTTGTAAATCGTACACTAATCTTGGCTTCCTTCGCTTGCTCGGGTTTCAATAGAAGCACTCGCGTCAAACAACAACTTTGTTGTCTTACATGACAAATGACTATTTTGTCACTGCTCATTATTAAGGCTAACCCTTCCCACGACCTGTTGGCGCAATTTGAATTTAAATAGGTAAGTAGGTATTAGATTATGTAGAAGCAATACCTACCTAACCAGTGAGTATAAACTTTGTAAAATACTTATTGATAAGTATGATTTATGAATAAATTGATTAAGTTTTTTGATACCTGTTAATATTTACCATTAGATAGCCAGGTAAGTGGTAAATGAAAAGAAACAAAGTTGTACGATTTAATTTTTTTATTAATTTACTACTTATATTTACTACTAGCATCAATTCTGAATTACAATTCGAACTCGAATGTTTGCAATCTCTGCCTTGAAATCAAAATATTGTTACGGATGACACAGTTTTGTAAATAATTAATTACTGGTAACTTTATATTGGCTCCATATTACTTACAAACTTCTAATAAACAAAATCCATCAAATACATGACTTCGAGATTAGTATTATTAATAGCCTAATCGAGATTAGTATTGTTAATAGCCTAATTGAATTTCGGTGAAATATATTGAAATTGTTGTAACTGTAAAACAGCCCGAGGTAAAAATGCTAAAAATCATACATTTTTCTTTGTTGACGTTTATTCTACATCGAATTTGGCTTGAATATAGTCAGGGCATCGGGTTTGATGATTGATTGAATCGGCAGAAATATTACTCTCTACATCAAGAACCACCATAAGCCCTGCTTTTGATTAAAACTTAATTAGTGGAAATTTTGACAACTCTCAAATGATGCGCAATATCGATCCTAATTTATTAATACGGGCCTGAAAGTAACAGCATTGTATTGACTTTGAGAAACTGAAAATGTTTACAAATTCCCCGGAATCGTTAAAACAGTTGAACGAACAATGTGAGACTCAAGTGGTATTGTTCTAACTTGGGTGACAAACACTTGACATACCCAAGATTATTCGTGTTGCCACATTTGTCGCTTCACACAAAATGTATGATATAAATATTGTAAAGAGAAGATTCTTCGATCCTACAACCTGAAACTGTAATAACATAACAGTGATGTTAATAGAATTAATTCTATTTCAGATACATCTGGATTATTAAAAAAAAACGAAAGTAATCGTAACAGGAAATAATCAACTTGAAAACGGCTACACAAATCCTAGTGGAAAAATGTAAACATCGGCAATTTATAGCAAATAATTTAAAACATTTATATAGAAGCATCAAATGCTTGTGTGCAAGATTAAAATTTGGTACGTTATTATTTCAAATTTACAATTTGTCAGTCTCCAGTTGACGTAACCATATTCCGGCGTTCCCTTTAAATCATATATTCCATTTATTACGTTTCCATGACTGATAGACAATGGGATTTTTTACTACTTGAAAGAGACGTAACGATTTTGAAGTATGATTTATGAAGTATACAAAATTTGCACAGTACGAATAATTGCTGAAAAATAATATAAAAAAATGAAACCTGTTGTATTATATTTAATATGAAATTATAGTATGTATTTTTAAATTTGCGAACTTTCGTAAATAACTATCTCTTGCCTCCAAAATTTCTGTTTTTATTCTCTTGTAAATATTATCATAAAGTTCTAATAAAGCGAGGCAAATTTTCAAGTGAATTTATGTATTAAAAAAGAAATAAAAATGATAAATTGTAACATTTCGTATATAGTTTTGTGAAAGGTATTGATTGGCACGCTCGTGAATAATAATAAAGCAGAGAAATGTATGTATCCATGAGATACTTCGACCCTACTCTCGAAGCACAAAATCCGTTTTCCCACAACCTCTCGAAGTCTCAACGAAAGGACGGGCCCGTTGGAAACTTTCAAATCGCGTTATCATACATACTTACTTCTAGCCCCGATCGACTCAAGTCTATAGATCATCCATAAAAACAGCCGTAATTACGAATTTCGTGGTTTGAGAGTAGGCCCCCCTTTTTCGGATACTATCCAGTCGAAATCAATCAAACATGGACAATTTTGTTTCCGATCTCACGATTGGTCATTTTGACACTAAAAATTACTCCAAAAAAAAAAAGAAAGTAAACGTGCCGTTGCCTATATTAATCGAGTATATAGTCAGAAATAGAGATGAAATAAGGGCCATATATTCCTGGTAACACATTAGCGATACAGCTCTTATAAATATCAACTCCCGTTTGCACTGAAATGTAGACAGGCCAACTACTGACCTGTGCGTACGTCTCCGTATATTCCAAAAAATATTCTGTATTTATTGTAATAAAGATAATATCTCTAACAATGCCGTGCTGTTCTATTCGACGGTGTGGAAAACAGCAAAACATCTAGTTACAAAACAAACGGAATCACATTTCATCGGTAATTAAATATAAAATTTTATAAATTACATTATTGGAAAGCTTAAATTAACTGGTCGATTTGAAGTGAAACAGTTGACGACACCCGTCAAATGTTTCCAACTCGGGCTAGCCAATCGGAGCGCAGGTGTCACAGTTATGATATGGCAGAATAGTTTTCAAACAAATTAAATGACATTTCGTGTCTATTTCTGGTTATATACTCGATGCCTATATCACTGTACCACTACTTAACCGAGATATCGTCTCTTGCGACACTAACAGATGTAATTTAATTTTTGACGTAAATCTGTTTTTTACTACGTGCAATTTTCAATTGATATTAATACCTTTTTCTCGTAAATTACTTCCATACGTGATATACAGGACGATACGGGAACAGAAAAGGATCTTTAAGCGACACTTCATATAACATTTGCTATTGGGTGTTTGTTGTACTTGTTAAAAAAAAAACATACGACAAATATGCAAATACTGACAAATATGATAGTTTACACAAGGATTAAAATAATAAGATCGTAGTGTGGACTGTTTACATGCGTATTTGCCGTATTTGTCGAATAGGCAAACAAGGAAATACTTTGTCACACATACTGTCTACACATGGTGATTGTTTGCCACATATATCAAATACAATTGCTTTGGTTACTAGAAATATCTGCATAGATATTAGTGGCATCGCCCATATCTCTGTTAAGTAGTTGGCATTAATTTAACTTTCGTTTACATTTTTTATGGTTTACATCCATTTGCATAATTGCAAATTAAATATTAGTTTAAAGCGTGGACAACTGCGATAGGTTCCCATAGATTTTTTAAATATTTCTAATAAGAAAATTAATAAATGCAAAAGCATTACATTGGAAGAAAATGAAATTTGCGTGTGCTCAAATGGATGACATTATGTAATCTTAAACCAGCGCTGACTTGAGAATTCATAGGACTCCTTGACGTTGATTAAAATTCTACCACGTATTGTTAGCCACGAAGTTTTTTGCAATGTACAGGCATACACTTATGTCATACAGGAAGTACATCTTTAAAAACTATATGTAATGTCGTTAATATACGTTTTTGCATATGACATTTTGTATGCCTTAGTGTGTGTGTAATATTAAGTAACTTATTTGGTCAGTGGTTAGGGTATGTTCAATTTAGGTCCTTTATTTTTAAGGGGTTTATTCTCTGCGTGCCTCTGTATATAGCCGTCAATTTTAACGTACCTTAATACCTTGTCTTCAGAAAGAAAAAAAAGTTTCTTTTTTTTTAAAGTATTTTACGACGAGGTGTAAGGAACGAACTTAGAAATATCCCATGAGTGTCTTTAGGCTGTGAATATGTAAATTTGACTTCTCTGTTAAAAACGGTTGACGATAATTTTTAGATTTAATTATTAAATTATTTTTTTTTTCATATTTTTTTATAGGATTACAAGCTATGATATTAGCCGTAGTTGTTTTTGAGCCATACCAAATACGACGTCGATTTATGCTATGGATTTATTTAGTCTGTGCTGCTGTAATTTTTGACGTGGTTTCCAAACATTTTTATTTGGCTAATTAAAGAGGGCTATATTAATCTCTGTCTTTTTGAAAACGGAGTAAACGACATTTGTAGGGTTGCCAGTTTTCATAAAATTTTTAAATAGTTATGTAGTTGTCGATAGTTTTGTCGATAGAAAGATACATTTTGACAAAAATGACTGTGAATGTTACAACGTCCTAATGATTAGTAATTGTGTTATTGCTTTCTTTATTATTTTGACAGTTGGCCTACTAGTATTGAGATAAATTTTCATTCATATATACATTTTAACAAAAATAGCTGGAATTGAAAATTAAAAACTTTTGTATTTTTCATAAACATAGTTCTTAATACAGTGTATGTATGTATGAACTTACAAACATTGACAATTCAAATGAACTTGTGCTCAGTAATTCGATGAAAGAATGTTCGGCTATTTATTCCATAAGCGCGACCAATATCCAGTCGATAGTCGATAGAATATTTATCGGCTGCAATCACTAGCTGCTCGCAAGCGGGCAACACTTGTGCACTGAATTGTCATATTACTCCGTCTTCAAAAAACACAAACTATAATAAATAACAAACTAAATATTCACACTTCAATATTCCCAACTTCTCATACTTATCCCATATTTATTACAGTAAAAAAAGTCGACATACCCAATCACGTGTATTTAATATCACGTGATATGCAGCGGGAAATTCAAATCGACCAATCACATGACTTTCGTGTGACGTTCCAATTAGCTAATGCAAGTTCAATAGACTACTGCAATATAATATCACTTGCTGACCGTATTTTTATTATATATGTATTTCTAGCCCTCAAAAGTACCGGACAGCATTGAAATTGTTTATTATGACAATAAACATTGTAATTTAATTAGTATTAAATTATAATATCTTGTTGGGAGTTTTTAGAAATCGGTTTTCTGTTTGTAAAAATATTGTATAAATTAAAAGTACATTCGAGTTTAGAGTCGACATGTAATTATTAGTGATTTCTAAATTTAGTATTTTGCAAAAAAATATGATATATGTTGTAAAGCAAGCGAGATATTTGTGTATACAGGCAAGGGTACCTTGTAAATTTTCGTCTTACATTATCACTATAGTTCATTTGTTTAGGTACTTAATTAAATTTAAACAATCTTGAGATGTCTATTTAATGAAATATATACATTTATGAAATGATTTTTACTTACCTTCGAATACAAAATACAAATACTTACCTTCATATCAAATTGCCAGCCCATTTTTATACCTATTGATTTGTAAAGCATATGTTTAAAAAAAAAAGATGTATCAAGAGTGTTTACATTTAGTTAAATACCTAAACAAATGGACTATAGTTACAGCTTTGTTTGTTTAGCTACCGTGTAACATGGTCACGTAATTACTGACAGTAGAGAAATCTCTCGTTAAAAACTCTTATCTCGACCTCTCATTGTTACTCATTTGTAAGCGATACGAGTACCTTTGAATATGTAATCTGTCCCTTAAAACCCGTATATAAGGTACCTTTTCCCCCACACATTTGTTGCTAATACCATCCGAATGGAGATCTCTAATTGTTTATATTCGATATTTGGACAACTATAGCCGTCTAGCGTGATAATTGTAGTCTTCATTAGGTGTAATTACATATGTGTGTAACACCTTGCGTCAAACGCATGAAACAGCTTTCCATCTTATCTAAAGCAAGTGAAAAACGGCACAGCGACAAACACAGCATTGTACTTACACCTATTGTCAAATATTCTGTTTGTAAAAGTAACTTGTTTATTGTATATACAACGAATGTCGACCCCTCCTACGTAAAGTATCGTATCTCGAAATTGCCAAGTTTACAGGGGAGCGTTTTTAAACTTTAGCATTTCTCAGTTTTATTCGGCAAAGCTCGTACTCAGATAGAGTATTATAAAATCCTAGATATCTTAGACGATCTATGATTATCTCTTAATCAGTCAAGTGTTACGCTCAGTGGATTCAGAACTTTAAAATGGTCCCCTGTAAACTTGGCAATTGCGACATACGATTCTTTACGTAGGAGGGGTCGATGTATCTTCAATTTTCAAGAAAGTTCAAAAACTGGAACTTTTGAGATACGTCTGTTCACATTTGTCGCACGTGTTTCAAACTATCTCAAGTTACGATTTTGAGCTTTTTTTTAATGTGATTTGTTAGAATTGCTAGACAAAGCATCGAGCCAGTTACTTAAGTTGAAGTTAAAGTAAATTAAATGTTAATACAGATGTAACACATAAACATTGGACATGAGGAAATCTTGGAAAACAATAACCTGTCCAAACGCTGTAACCGGAACTTTACCAGTCAATGTCTAACGTCAAAGCCATTGACAAAATTTCGTATTTAATTATTAATAAGATAATTCGGATATATTCGTGGTTTCCCGATTCTCAATGTTTATGCATTACATCTGTACTGCAATGATGTATTCCGTTCACGCGTTTTATTGTAGCTAGCAAAATAATATTTAGAATCTCCCGAAAGGTAACAAAAAGTTATTACCGTAGACTTTTATTTTTTGCAAAATTGTCGCTACTAATTTTTATTTTGTGGTTGAAAAAAATAATTTCGTTTGGTGTAACAATTAGATCATGTTAATGAAACCGATCGTTGCCAAGTGCCCGCAAAAGATATGTTTGTTAACACATTTATATATAACTATTGTTCATGTATATATTCAATCATTAAATTTGTTGATATTTCGAATGCGTTGATTTTTATTTTGTTACTTGACATAGCGAAATCGCAGTTTTTCAGTAACTCCCAATGCAGACTGATAGGTGCCAAAGACTGAGAGACGCATCCTGCAATACTTTACTGGCTTTTCGTTTTGTTATTTATCAACTGACAATTACATCGAATCAGCTATATCCGGCTCGAAGGACACTTAACTGGCTACTTGTTTTGTTATATATTATCTACCTGGCTGAGTAACTTCGTATATTTCTTATTCGTGCGCTGACGGCAAAAAAACAGATTTAAAAAACCCAATATAAAGATCTCTAACAAACACGGTCTGTGGAGGTTGATCTATAGCTCAGTTGATTTACAGCATAGATTCCCAAAATTTATAAAGGCAAGATAAAATAAATTTCAACGCCCACGTATTTTTATATTAATTTAACACAAAAAAATCGCAAGAACAAAGTAGTAGTAGTAGTGTCATTTATA